ATTATTTTTTTCAAATGATCAAAATATTACTCTTGGGCCTAAATCTATTATTGTTTCAAGTCCAACCCACTTACTCTCTCATTGTGTTCAACTTAAAAGTCTAAATAGACTCATCTTGATTAATACATGCTTCATAGTTTGTTATCCCAACCCTCTCTTTGCAAGCCGTTTATTTGTGATAAGATTTTCATGTTTTGTCTACCAAATAAAAGAACGAATTCTTTCGGGCATTGATAAATTCCAGATAAGGTTCCAAGAATCAGAGTTGATCTGATCACTAGTGTTTAGATTTATTATATGGTATGCACTACCACATTGAAAGTTCTAGATTTGTTTCCTTTCCAAATGCAACCATTCTTGTCATTGTCACTACTAGAAGGAGCTAAGGTGGTTATATCATTTAAGATAGTGTTTGGGAGAAGGTTTTGTATTCTACTAATATCCAACATGCCCCTATAATCAATTAGATCTCTGAATTTTATGTTTTGTATGTCATCTTCTACATTAGCTCTCTCACGCTCCAATGTGATATTTGGTCTTATCCAACAATCACTTCACACATTGATACTCTCTCCATCTCTTATATTCCAATAGGCCCTCTCATTCATTTTAGGAAAAAGTTTAACAATATTCTTCTAAAGGATCGAGTCTTGAGGTTTGGATATAGCCACTTTGAAACTACTTTGGCTTCATCGTATTTGCCTCTTAAGACCTAACACTAGAGAGAACTCTCACCACTTTTGAGTTTCCATCCTAATTTGAAAAGGCAAGCTTTGTTCATATAAATTAACTCCATCATACCTAAAACCCCCATGCATTTGGGCTTAGTAATGATGTCCCAATTGATGGTGTGAGCATTTCACTTGTCTTCTGAATTACCACACACAAAATTTCTTCGGATTCTCTGAATGTATCTGAGGAACTCTTTAGGAAGCTCTCAAGTCATCATTGTGTATGTGGGAATAACTTCAATCACTGATTTAGCTAAGGTAACTCTGCCAACAAAAGACAGTTTTTTCCTTTCCAAACAGCCAACTTAGATTTGATTTGATCCATCATATCCTAATAATTCTCCTTCTTTGGACTTTTTCCTTTTAGATGGATACCCAAGTACTTCCCCCAATCATTAGTTTCTTTGAAACTAGACAAATGAGTCAAAAACCTCTTTACATGAACATTAATGTTCTTAGAGAAAATGATCTCTTCCCAAACATAGCATAAAATTTATTTAGCACTTCATTAACATAAAACAATTGTTGCTCTGTAGCTTCCCTAAATTGGAGAAGGTCATCAACAAACATAAGGTGTGATATCATATTCCCCTTCCTCCCGGCCTTCAGACTCTTCCATCTGCCCTCGTTAAGAATAGCAGATATCATGTGGGAGAGTCTGTCCATACATAGTACAAAGATGTACAGAGAGATTGGGTCCCCCTGTCTTAATCCTTTTTCCACAACACATTCATCTTCATTGTGGTGATATACTTCATAATAATTCTCGTAAGGTGGAGAGGTATACCTATCTTATTCATAACATTATTCACAAAACTCAAATTTAAGTTATAACATGTTTTGGCTAAATCTACCTTAAAAAAAAGCCTTTCTTTCCTCTCAATTGATTCATATTGTGAAATATCTCTTGAGCATCAATGATGTTCTTGTGGATGCTTCTGCCTGGTATGAATCCAATTTGAATGAGACCAATAATCTTATCAATAATATTTTTGAGCCTATTCACCACACATTTTCTCAAAATTTTATACACAATATTACACAAAGATATTGGTATAAATTGGTTCACATATTGGGGTTTATGCATTTTGGGAATTAAGACCAAGTCAATATAGTTTACCTCTTCTATTGACTTAGGCTTGTTCCAAACATTTTTAGTGTTCTTGCATATTCTTTCTCCAATATCTTCCAAGATTTCTGGTAGAATTTGGTAGCGAATCCATTTGGGCCAGGAGCTTTCCAAGGAGACATCTCAAAGAGGGCAACTTTTATCTCATTATCTTGAAGGTCTTCCTGAAGAACATGATAATCATGCTTATCCAAATTAGAGAAGGTGATTTATGTTTGTATCCAGTCACTGGTTTTTAGATCTGATGTAAATAAGTTCGGATAAAACTCTGTGAACATGGTCTTAATTTTTTCATCGTTATCTTCAATCCAGTTACCATCTTCGTTCTTAATTTGAAAAATCTTGTTTTTTCTTCGTCTTTGAATGGTTTTGACATGGTAGTATTTAGTGTTACGATCCCCGTCAACTAACTAGTTAGCTCTAGATCTTTGATACCACATAAGTTCCTCTTGCTGTAAAGCAAGATTCATTTATTGATGAAGCTCCTTTTCCTGTAGGTGGAGACCAGGGTGCCATCGACCATTATAGAGAGTATTTTGAGTACCTTTAAGCCTTCCCATGGTCTTCCTATTTTGAATCTGAGTACTATTGATTGTCATTTTCTTCCATTTTGTTAATTCTTGCCTGAGTTGCTTTAATCTTCTTAGATACATTTTCATGAGTGTTCCAGTTCCTCTGAATCATTTCCTCATAAGTATCTCAATGATCCAAGCACTTTCGAAACTAAATCTCCTCTCATTATTGCACACTTGAAAATCCTTAAGGTTGATTAAGATAGGGTGATGATCAGAGAAATCTAACCTTGTAAGTACTTTAACAACCACATCAAGGAACTGCATACGCCAAGGCTTATTGCACAATGCTTTGTCTAAGCGCTCGTAGATTATTTGCCCTCCATGGAAGATATGACCCCTCTAAGTAAATTGATTGCCCACTTCCCTAGGATCCACGAGGTTATAACTATCGATTATGCTTCTGAAGTTTAACCATTTCCTCTTTGACATTTATGTGCCTCTTTTTTTCTCTGAAAAATTTAGAATTTCGTTAAGATCTCCGCCCAGCAACCAACTTTTATTCATTGTGTTTGCTATCTTCTTGAGTTTGTGCCAAAGAAAAACTCTACAGTCCTCACGAGGACTTGCATAGATAGGTGTAAAGTACCATTCATCCTTATTTTGTACCACGAACTGAGGATTGACCTTGTATATTACCACGATTCTTTTAATCAATCATGGTGTAAAATGCAATTATTTCATCACGATTTGTATTGTCAACCGTGGTGAAAGTTGTTACATATTTCTATATAAGCTAAATTATCTCTCGCTTCAGTACATAACATCTGTCTCTCTCAAAAGAAAGCCCTAACATCTATTTCACTCGTCTCTTTCAAAACAAAACCCTAACATCTATGTCACTTGTCTCTCTCAAAACAAAGTCCTAACATCTTTGTCACTTGTATCTCTCATATGGAAACCCCAAACTTATGCAGCAAACTCATATCTTCAAATCTTAGGAAATGAGTACTTTACATGTTCGTCTTCACAATATTTTTATCTATTATTATTTACATTTCTATAGCTTATTTCATAATGTTTGAACTTTGTGCTTGTTTTGACTAGTAGGTAGAGACAAGTGAATTAAAAAAATTAACGTGGATGAAGCTAAAGTGATCGCTACAAACTTGTGTGAAAGACCTAGAATGACATCCGTTTAAAATTAACACAAATTTACAACTCTCACTTCAACTTCACTCGTTTTCATTTTGGATGTCATTATGGGACATGTACGTTTCTGAAAGATTTTGTGAGTTGATATGTTGTTGTTGTTATTAATAAAAGTTGTATGTTGTTTAAGGTTTGCTGTTGATTAAAGTTGTTGTTAATGTTTGTTTAAAAGATGAGTTTATTATATCTTATGTGATTTGAGTGTTTTCCAACACCTTACCGAATATATAACTTTCCGGATTGGATTAGAAAAATATAATATGAATAACAAAGTGATATTAGAAAACAAGTTACACGTTCAATTTTAGACAAGAATTCTTCAGGCCATTATCCGCATTTCGCTCTTTAATCGTTAGAACTTGGTTTAATGCTTCTAGTTCTTCAACCTCCCTTTCTTCCACCTCTAATTTTATTTGCAAAGTAAATAATATATTACAAAATGAACTAAAGGTGAAGGAATGAGGGTTGAAGTACTAGGAGTATTAAACGAAATTCTAACAATTAAAGCGAAAAATACAGATAAAGGAGCTAGAGAATCTTCGTTTAGCATTGAATGTGTGACTTGTTCTTCTAATATAATTTAATTGGTCGTATTATTATATTTTAGATCAGATTGAAAGGTTATATGTTTAGTGAACATTGGCGAAATAAGTATTCCACATGATTTATAATAAACTCATTATATATATCACAACGGTTGTTTAGAACAATCGTTGTTAAATGTTATGCGTTAAAGAATGTTACAACGATTGTTTGAAGTAACCAATGAGATAAGTAGTGCACTACTTGACATATAATCGCGGTCGCACAACCATGGTGAAAAACATCATACATACAACCATCCCTTACCTCACAACGATAAATTGTAGGATCCTTTTTCAAACCGATATGAAATATGTTTTCTATAATAGTGACATTCCACTTAATTATATAATTAATTCGAAACTAATTTAGTAGGCCTTGAACCTACATCTAACATATACATTACTAACTAATTAGAAGTCTACTAACATATTTTAAATCTAGGTTTCACTGTGTATCATGGGTTGAAATTCCCTTATACTTCCATAAGTAAATTTTGCTTTAAGAAAAACTCTATAGAAAGAACAAGTTCTGCAAAGGTCAAACTAGCATGAATAAAAATATTAGGCCAAATTTATAAAATAAAAAAATTGAGGAGTTGTTCTCCATGCATTCATATTTTTAATTGTTGAATAACTAACTCTTATTTGCCTTTCCCAAAAAAAGATGATGAATAACTCAAAATATGAAGCTATATTTTCTATGCAAAAGAAGTAGAAACTCTCTTTTTATTATATCCTTTGCTAATCCTTTCAGCTGCAAACAAGTGCAAGTATGAACAATTACAACCAAAACACATGCCTAGATAACATTTTCAACAATGTTACCATTCTATCACTGACTGTTACCTGTTCCTCTATACTTATATCTAATAGCCCAAAACAAGTAATGCAGAAAATTCAAACCACTAAGCACACACATAAGCCAATAAAACCTCTCTAAATGATAATGGTTAAGGTTAGAACCCGATAACCAAGGTTTATGAGAGGCATTACCAGTAACAGTATTAACTATTGATATAATCACTGAACTTAGGTAATAACCTATTGCCAAAGATGTCCAAGTAAGCGATGTCGCCCATGATCGCATTTTAACGGGCGCTTCCGTGAAGAAAAACTCCAATAAACCGGCCATTGTGAAAAGATCGGCTGAACCGAGGAACAGAAACTGAAAAGCGATCCAAAAGAACGATATAGGTATCGGTTTTGTGTGATCGTCTAAGAGATTTGATTCTGTTGCTACTCGTTTTCGTTTCACTTCGACTAATGCTGCAACTGCCATTGAGATTATTGATAGGATTAGTCCGAATCCGATTCTTTGGAGATGAGTTATTCCCATTTCGGATTTAGTGTACTTTCTTGCGAAGGGGGTTATAATGTGATCGTAAATCGGTGCGAGGATCATTATGAAGATGATTGGGAAGATCGGTAATGAGGCGGGTGGGACTTTTAGGGAGCCGATTTTTGTGTTCATTGTCGCGGCTTGTTCGACAGAGAATGTTGAGAGCTGAGCTAGGCAGCAGTTTAGGACAATTGTGCAGCAGAATGTTGGGAGGATTTTTAGGACTATTTTTACGTCTTCGAGTTCTTCGACCGAGCATTTTATTGATTCGTTTTCGATTGCGCTGTTGAGGAATTTTAGTGTGGTTGATGGAGCTTTAATTTCTTTGATTTCTTTGGATGATGATGATGATTCTTGTTTTAGGATTGAGTTTTGATTTAATGGACTTGATGTCATGTTCACAACAGCACTGCTCGAGTTTTTGGAGATGAATTTGTTCATTGCTGCAGCAGCCAAAACCTGTTCATTAAAAAACTTGGGTTAGTCAAAGATTTCTAATTTTTATAGATTTTGTTTTTATCAATACACGAATTAGTAATAACCATGGTTTTAAATTACAGCTCATACAACCAATTTGAAGTCATGTTTAACGATATATACTATTTTACACTTTTCTCGATCAAAATTCACACTGTAAGAGTTGCAATGCACATCAAAAGCCGCAACTGCATTCGCAACTGCAACTAGTATTTAAAACAATGATAAAAACTATAAGAAACTCAGTCACACAACCGTGAGATTCAGAGTTGGAGTTCCAGTGATATTACCTTCAAAATGGTTGTAAGAGGGCTTCCAGTAGGAATTTTGTTCTTGTATCTAGTAGAACCAGCCAAGAAAACAGGAATAGAAAGAAACATGCTAATAGTAGCAATTCCAAAACCCCATTTCCAACCAATATTATCTTCGATCCAAACAACAAAAGTGACTGCAATAAGGCCACCGCATGATAAGCAAAACACAAAGTAGTTGAAAAATGTTGATATATGCTTTCTTCCAGGTACACTGTTCTCATCAAATTGTTCAGCACCATGTGGTGCCAATGATCCTTTGATTCCACCAGCTCCAAGAGCAACTAGATATAGTCCTGCAAATAGCATTAGTGCTTTTGCACCATTCACTTCTTCACATTCTGTTCTTGGGTCGCAGGTTGCTGGCTGAAGTGAAGACACACTTGCTTGTGTTGTTAGTATAATCAGTCCCTGCACATATTCAAAATTCTTTTATTGCACCTTTCTAATAGTATAAAATATCGAGTTTTCCATTTATAACTATCAACAATTTGTTTATATTAATGTATTTTAAAAAATAATATAAAAACTATCATCTTCATTTTTAATTATAAGATCTTTTTGATTTTTTTCTTTTCATTTTTATAAGACACTTTTTTCAATTTTTAAATTGCATTTAATTATTTTTTCTAAACATATTTTTTTAATTATATTACATATTTTTCTATCATCAATAATAAATATACTTATATAAATATTCATTATTTACCTCTTCTAAGAATAAACCTATAAAATTATATAAATAGTCAATAAATTTAATATTTTAATTAATTTTATTAATTAATATAATTTAATCTACGACATCTTATATTTAAGTAGTAAAAGAATAATATATATGTTGGGTTACTTCTTTCTTCCACCTCAAACCACAACTATTAATGTGAAAGCGATTTGAAAAATTATTGATCAAGATTCTCATGTGACATTACAATGCATGTGAAGACATTTATTATTGTTGTACTAGTACTACCATTGCTCTTTATCTTGCCTCTATTTTTGTCCTAACAAGTGATGAAATATCACATCATCCTAATAAAAAAAGTACCAAATGTCTTATACCATTCCTAAAATGTGATCAAATAAAGACAAGTCCATATCTCTCTACATAAAGTTCTAGCACTAAAAATGTGGAAAAAAAGTTGGACCATATTATTATTAGGCTTAGGCATTATTATATTTTCTTCCTGTCATTTTAATAAATAAAATTTATTTTAAAATAATAATCATTTTTATTTTTTAATATAATAATAATTTTTATTTTTCAATTATATTTCTTAAATATTGTTATTAATATCATTTCTAATATATTAAAAAGTTAATTTAATAAAAATATAATAATTTATAACTATATTATTGTATCTTTTTAATTTTAATTTATAATTAAAATTGTTAGAATATTTTAAAATAAAGTTTACTTTTAAATTAAGAAATGAATTTTTAAAAAAAATTATATCTTCACGCCATTTGAAATGGCGCCAACCTACTGATTATATAAAGGATAGAACCTTGACACCATTTCAAATAGTGCAAACCCTTGTGTACGTGATATATTGAACATTTTATTTCAGTATATAATATTTTGAGGGTTTTGTTTCTCAGACGTAACACACAAAAAAAATTCAAAAACTACATCTAAATTAAAAATCAACCACCTTAGTTAAAGCTTAAAAATCAACCATCTAAATTAATAAATCTGACCTCAAAAATACTATTATTACCGATTTTAATGGCTTGAACCACTAGTTAAAAATCACTTTTAAAAACAATATTATTTAAGTAGATAGTTATAGAGAAATAAATAGTCTCTTTAAAAACTGAATGAATACCGAAATCCCATGGTGCACCATTTTATTATACGAAGAATATTTTAAAAATTCAAAACAACGTGTCATCAACTTCGTGAACATAAAAATGTTGCTTTCAAAGTTAATTAAAAACTTGGCAGAACGAAGTTTCAAGTCCACCTGTACATTGGCACGTAAAAATAGGCTTTCTCGAAAAAACTAAAGACGTGTGCATGAACATAGCTTTATGTGGGCTCCTACTCTATATTTTTTTTAAATTAATTTATCTAAAGTCTTACTGTACCTTCTTTCTTTTTCTTATACGACACACCAACATAAACAATAAATAAATGATTATTTTAATGTAATTATGAGATAAAAAGATAAATACCCCACTTTAATTATTGGTATTTTGTCTCATATATGCCACTCTTGATTGTCTTTGTAATTTTGTGTGAGGAGACATGAATAAAGTTACCTATAAGCTTTTTAGATTTTCTTTTGTTTTATTTTTCAACTTTTTCTATTGAATTATCGGCTTAAAATAAAGTAAAGAAATTCCATACATGATTTCAATGATTATATTAAAAAAAAAGGGTATTTTATATTATTTTTAAGAAAAATAATAGAAAATATTTGTATAGCTTTTAAGAAAGTATTTCTAATATTCATATCAAAATAATTTAATATTTTTTATTAACTAAAGTAGTAATAATAACGATTTTATAATTTTATTTTTCTTTTAGGTTTATCATCATGCGACAAGTATGAATTTAGGTATTTAGATATAAGAGTTGATGTATATTATTAAAAGTATTTTTTTATAAAATGGTATCATCTAAAAGTAAATTTGTAAGATTATTATATTTATGTATTTGATTCAAGGAATAAAATCACAATTCTCAAAATATCATTTTTAGAATATTACTAATTGGAATATTAATATAAATTTTTTTATTCCTAACAATATATTTGTTAATAAATTATATTTTTCAGAAATATTTTAAACTTTTTAATTAAATAAACTAATATATTAAAATAATGTGAGAATCAAAAGATATGGTCGGTTATGTTTTATTCTCAAAATATAAAATTACAAGAGTTTACATGGGAATTAAAAATGAGAAAATCATGTAAAAATTATATTTCTAGAATAAAAAATATTTATAAATAATTTTTTTATAACTTGAAATAAGCATAAATATTCAAGGTTTTCAAAGTCTTTTAAGACAACTTTACAATTCATGAAACAAACATCACATATATTTTACAAAAATATAAGATGAAAAGTACTTCAAACTATTATGAAAATTTCAAAATAAATCTAAATAAAATGTTAAGAACTCAATAAATAAGATTCAACATAAAATTAAATTTATAAGTGAAAGAAATTTTTTATCTGATTATAAATTATTTTATAAATATTTACAAGTTTCTCAATCTACGTTCCACAACAAAGATTTACCGAAAGATTTTTTTTTGGAAGTATATCTTCTATTAAAATAAAATAAAACATTTAAATATATTTAAATATAATTTAATATAAAAAAGAATGAATTGAAAAATACATGAAATTTATTTTAAGTCTAACCTAAATTTACAGTTGAGTCAAAGTCTATCAAAATTTATTGGACAAACAACTATAGTTAATGTTATTGGGCCACTAGGGTCATACCCATAAAGTCAACTCTAAATTTAAAAGAAAATTTCAAGAGTCTCACACATGAGACTTAAATATAAATTTATAAAGGAGAATAATCATCTCCTTCAAAAATTGACTTAGTAAATATTGAAATATATTTATAAATGAGAATAATCATTTCCTTTAAAAATTAAATTTCATGAGCTCAAACACTTCAAAATTTTGAACATTTAAATTATTTAATCACATATTTAGTAAAAATAAAAAAGAAAATAATAATAATAAGATTAAATTATAATTTTGATCTAATTTTATTTAATTTATGGAATTATTTTTTTTATTTTAAATTTCATCACTTCTCACATTTTTTCATAAAAAACCAATTTTTTATTTTATTTTATAACTTATATTTTTTAATAAAATTCTACAATAAATTTATATACAATGATATGTCATATTATCATTTAAAAAATAATATATCATTAATTTTAAGTTCAAAACTACAAATGAGAATTAAATCTATTTAAACTCAAAATAAGAGGATGAATTTTTTAAATTAGTTAAAATAAAGAGACCAACCTATCCAAATAATAATATATTGATTCTTAACTTAGCTATTAGTGGGTGGGTATTTGGTCATGCAATTCATGAGGGTTTGTAAGAGCAAGTGGAAAGAACCAATACATGAAAATAGAAAAAGATTCACAAAAGTGATAGATAAGACAGTTTTATTTCTTTTCTTAAAACAATTAAATATCTTTGACATCTTTTCACTCATTTTTCATGGATTTATATTGGTTGATGCAACCCCCACTTTGCAACTTGTGTTTTGCAACTTGTGTTTTACACATATTCTGGTTATGACATTATGGGTTTGAAACACACCATTTTCTTTGAAAAAAAACATCAATATTATATCATTTTTCACAACATTGCTATGACTTTGTGTTATTATTTAAATAAACGTGCAGGAGATAAGTATAACTTCTTTTAAAATTAAAATACTATATTTTTTTTAAATAATTAAAAAATATATAATTTGTAAAAAGCAAACTAAAAGTTATCTTAAAAGATAAATTCAACTTCTTCTTAAATATATTTAATTATATTATTAATTTTTGAAGCGCAATAAAAATTGAATAATAAAAATTAAACTTATCATAAAATTTTATTTAAAAAGTCTGAAATGTTTGACTAGTCCAAAAAAAAGTGCTTTCTTTTAATAAAAAAAGAAATAGAATAGGACAGAAATTGAAATTCTCTCACTCTAATTTTAAAAAATAAAATGTGTAATGAAAAGAAAAAAGAAAATATGAGACACAGTCACTCAAATAATTTATTTATTTTTATAATGTTATAAAAGAAAGTAATAATGATGTAGTGACAACATAATGTAAAGTATTTTAAACATATAATTATTATTTTTGTACATTTATTTTTAAATATTTTTACAAATATTTATATAATATAATTTAATTGAATGCATATTAATTTTATTAAATGATAGCATTAGAGTCAAATTTTTAATATTAAATAACTTCACTAAAAATCCCTTGAAATAATTTTGGTCAAATTTCAGCTCAATTTTAATAAATGAAATAAAAAAACTCAAAGAAATGCAACACCGTGCCTATTAAGCAATCAATAAACAATAAACTGAGAAAGAAAAATTAACAAAAAAAATATCAAAATTAAAGCAAATTTTAAAAGTGATGAGAGACAAAGTCTCATGACATTCCCATGTGATGATGATCAAAAACAAAGAAAAAGAGAAAAATGATGAAAAATGTGAAGAAGTAAATGTTCATACCAGGAACTCAATAACTGCACTTATCAAGTAGATGCGATAAGTTGTGAAAAATGCATCAGATAGAAATCCACCAAGAAGAGCAAGAAGAAAAGCTGTTCCCATGAAATTTGTAACATTATTCGCCGATTTCGACGGCGAAAAATGCATATATTTTCTTAAATATAACACCAAGTTGCTTGCATTTGCTAGAAATGAAAGATTCTCCAATATCTCCACCACTGCACAAAAAGAAAAATATATTCCAAGAAATATTCATATGAAAGTAAATTAAATCTAACAATTTTGACCAAAATTAATAAACAATTATCAATATTTATAAAGCAAAGATATCCGCCACATTTTTTTTCGAGAGGTATCAGTGCTACATAATCGAGTAATAGAAGATAGAAAATTGAGACATACCCAAAACAAAGGAAGCTGCAATCATTCCACCATGTTTTCCTCTAAGGGCAGGTCTATTTCTCCAATCAACATAGCCAATCCATCTTGTTGCATGTTGATGTTCAAATTCCTGTAAAAATATAATATAGTATTTTAATGAAACATTAAAAGAATATATATTGTGAGAGAATAAAGATATAAAGGAGGAGGGGGTGTATAAAGAAGAACTTTAACACTCACCATTTTTTTTTCTTCTCTCTGGTTTGGATCTGGAGAGGGTGATTTATGAAGTGAAAAAGGAAGAAGAATGGGAGAAGATTTAAAGAAAGTGTGAGGGTGAAGGGATGAAAAGATCCAGCTTGGACATAAATGTCTATACACTAAGCTAAGCCAATGTATATCAAATTGACCAATCTTTCTTTCACACGCTTTTTGAATTAAAAATATTATTTTTATACTGTTGTTTTTCTACTATAAAGTTGTTGATAAAATTAAAAGTATTTTCAAAAATTAGTAAAAAATAAATTTGGAGAATAAAGCATTGTTTCTAAATGGCAAGTGCTTACAAATATAATAAAAGAATCTATATGCAAAAGTGTTATCTTTCTACTTTTTTTACCCTTACTCATCATATATGGAAATATATATTTGATTGGAAAATGAAATCTAGTTTTCTAAATGCAGCACATAGTTTGTGATATTTCCCTTCCATTTTAAATTATTAGGAATAGGTTCGTGCATAAGTCAAATTAACCAACTTTAGGCTTCTGGATAAATTCTTTTTGAGTAGTCTAATAAGAGTTAATGTTTGATTTTATTTATTTATTAGTGATTTTTTCATTGTAAAATTAAGACTTTTTTAAATACATAGGATTTTTTGTTGGGGGCTGTTCTTAGTTGAGAAGTTACTAGGCATCAAAGACTCAATTTCTTGAAGGACAGGCTTGTTAGCTTAGGGCATGGTGGTTTTGCTTAATTATTTGTTTGATTATTTTAGTCGGACGTGCAAAGCGTTTCTGACAACACTATTGACTTTAGGTGGAAAATTAATAGATTTAGACAGACCTGTAAAGTGTCTTTGACAATACTCTTAATTTTAAGTGGGGAATTAATTGCCTTAGTAGAACGCGTTAAGCGTCTCCAACAATACTTCTAACTTTAGGTGAAGAATTGATTGTTTTACTTGAACGTGCAAACTACACACTGGACGTCGATATCTTTGGTAGTACCCAATATTTTCTGTCGCTATGCATAGTCATAAAGAAAAGAATATTTCATAAAACATAATTCTTATTATTATTATCTCTCACACACACGCACACGCACACACACGCACACGCACACACGCACACACACACACACACACACACACACACGCGCGCGCACACGCGCACACACACACACACACACACAACAATCGCTTATTCTTTCTTTTTCTTTGGCCGGTTTAGTCACTTTTTGGAGGACGAACACCTTTCTTGTTGAATTTCCTAGTGAGAGAAGCGATATTGATCTCCATTTATATGTCTTCTTCTTGACCTTTTTAGAAAGACTAGTATATTCTTTCTGCTCCTTCTAGATCAGTGTTAATGGTGGTTGATTCTCTTGTCCGAATGTCTTTTCCATCACCTACGAACACCCTCAACTCCACATATCCCTAGGGACAAATAATGTTTATGTTAAACGTCTGGAGATCTGGGCTTTCATATGGCAACAAACCGCTTCGTTTCAACCTCATCTTCTCAAACAACTCTGAGTACATGATGTTAAAAGAATTATCGTCGTCAATGAGAATCCAGAACACTTCAAATTTCTGAATATTAACGATGATTACAAGGTAGAATATCTCATTAGAAATGTCTCTAATCTTCTCTAAGTCCCAGAATCCCAACCTAGGACGGTTGGGGTCTTTTATCTAAGTACATCCTTCCTTGTGGTGGACGACCATAATTTCTGCAATCTTCCTCTTCATGGTGCCTTTTGAAGGCAGGTTTTCCCGGGCCACTCCTCCGATTATGGCAGAGATATAGGTGGGTTTTCCTTTACTTGCCTCTTTTCTTTCTCCTCTTGCTTTTGGCCTCATCGGTCTTCAAGGGAGACTTACCTTTAGCTGACTCCTCTCCATCCTGCTTTCCCTTTTGACACACTTAGTTAGCTAGCCCCTCTTGATCAATGCTTCGATGACATCCTTTAGTTGGATGCAATAATTAGTTTTATGGTTATGGCTCTTGTTGAAGTGGTAGTACTTTGATTTACGTGTCTGAGATGTCTCTCTGATGGAGTAAAAAGGTAGGATTACTTTATTTTGAAACTCATTATTAGCCCATTCTTATTAAAAATTTCTCGGGAGACCATCAAGGGAGTGTATCTGTTGTACTTACCCAACATACTTTGGTCATAGTCATCTCAACTTCGATGTGATTCCTTCTCAGATAGACGATTGGAGTGAGAATCGATAGAGGCGAAGTTGTCAAAGCATGTAATCGGCTTATCCTCCAGGAGCATGTATGGTTCAACCATGATTAACATTTCCTGAACATATTTTAATTTCTTCTTACCTAACTTCTGCTTGAAAGGGTTGTCTATCAGAAGCCCATTTTCAAAGATCCACCACTAAAGACCTTATTGGGACCCTTCCACTTTAATAGAGACATGTGTGAATCTGTCTACATAAGACTTCAAGCTCTCTTTATTTTCGAGGATGATCCTTGTGATACGGTGGGAGAACTAACTTGGTTGTTTTGCATTTTATCGCAATTGTTGCGGATAGCAAGAGTCGCCACCGAATTTTCTTTTATCCAATAAAGGAAAGGGTGAAATGAACAGGAAAGACCTTTGAGATATTTTTCTTGAGTTCGGGGGGTAGATTATGAAAAGGGAAGGTGTTAGCACCATTTTCATTCGTAGTTATCTACGGGCTCTTAGTTGCTCGCTAAATCACTTTTGCTTTGTTTGAAATTTGTTTGTGTTTGGTGAAAGTTTGAAAATATTTTGAAAACGCCTTTGTTTTGGCAAACTTTGTAATGATTCCTGTCTCTATAAGAATTTATACAAAGTGTTGATTTTGAAAATAGTTCAAAGAGATGTTTGTTTTGGAAGATGTTTTGAAAGTGTAAGTGTGGAAATGGTTTTAGTTTGTGAGCAAGCAACTACGAGCGTCCAACCTACTCAAAAGATCTATGTTCTTTTCCTCCTCCTTTAGATGTTGCTATCTTACCATTGATTTGGTAAGAATCCCTATCGTTGGATGTGAAGGGACAGGCGTGGGTCATCGTATAGTCATGAATGGCAATATTGTGAGATATCTTAGTATTTTTCTTAAGGGACTAAGATCATTTGTAAGGCAACATTTGTAGCGTCATCGAGGGACTATGATCTTGTATTTTGGTTATTTTTGCTAAGATGGCTCACATGCACATTATGACTATTTTTCTCAAGGCAACAAGTGGAGTTAACCCTAGAGATATAAGTGTGCAAGTATTTATTTTTCATGCATTGTCTTGTCTTGGATTAGGATTTTCCAAGGTTGATTATTTATCTTGCCATACACACCCTAATTACTAACATTTATGAAAGCGATAAAATTGCGGAAAATAGATGTTCTACGCTATTACATCATTTGGGGGATGGGGGATACAAATGTACAAATGGAGATTGCAAGAAATTAAACCTAATCATTTATTACAAACCATATTGAATAGCTATGAAGCAAATATATGAGATATGTAAAAAAAAACAGTGCAAAAGAGAGAAAAAAATCTTTCGACATCATGTGTCGAAGCATGCTTATATGCATCGACACATATCCTTCTTTCGACCCTGTAATTCCAAATCAAATCAGTATGAGTCAAAGCATAATGTTATGTGTCGAATCACACACCCTTTTTCCATTCTGTTTAGGCCTATAAAGCAGTATGTGTCGAAGCCTAAGGCTTTGTGTCAAATCATGCTATAATTTTTTCACTCCAACATTGTTTTATAATCTGTACAGGTTGGTTCTTAACATGTAATTGACAAGAAAGGAAGACAAACAAAAGGTTAGCTTCGAAGGAAATGGTTATTACATGTTATCTTCGAAGATGAATCATCAATGATGATTGAAATGAAAGGTTTAAAGTCAAGAAGACTTATCTTGAAGCTGGAGTTTGTGTTTCGAACTTGAGTTACTGCCTTGAATGTCCTTGAGTTCGAAAAAAAACAGAGGTGTTTTTTTTTTTTTTTTGGTTTTGGGTTTAAGAGTGTTTTAAGGCTTCAGCATTCGTGTTCTCTCCTCTCTCTTTTTTTTTCTTTTCTTCTTGCCAAAAGCCCCCCTTTATGTGTTGTGAAACAACTTATTTATAGAAGAGTCTTGCTGGGGTCACTACTAAAAAAAAGACATTTGAGAAAAAGTTTTTACATCAGGTATCAATATGTGATGTAAAAAATACAGTTAACAAACTTTTTACATCAGGTATTTATTTGCAATGATATAAAAAATAAGGGAAATTTTTTTTTCCGTCACCTATTACATCGGGCAATCTCATCCACCGATGTAAAAGATTTCCAGAAAAAAAACACGGTAGCATTTTTGTAAATAAGAAACAAGGTGACAAAAACGTAAAAAAAATATAAGCAAGATATTACATCGGTTTAACTAAAAACCGATGTAAAAAATGCTCGCTTGAATTAATATATAAAATATATTAAAAAATCATAAAAAACGCGTGTAAAAAAAAAAGCAAGATATTACATCGGTTGGACTTTCCACCGATGTAAAAGCCAACTCTTGTATCGGTTGGAGGTTCCACCGATGTAATAGCCAAAGTTTTAAAATATATTAAAAAAAATACAAAACGCGTGTATTGGTTGGACTTGCCACCGATGTAAAAGCCACACGCGTGTATCGGTTGGACTTTCCACCGATGTAAAAGCCACACGCTTGTATCGGTTGGAAAGTCCACCGATGTAAAAAAGTATAAAAACATAATTCATATATTCTCGAACACTGTACAACTCCTCCATTTTACGACCCATTTCTCCGACCCATTTCTCCGCGACTTCATTCGCCGCGACTACCCACCACTGCCAACATCGTCAATGACTCACCGTCGCCGCCAACACCGTCAATGACTCCAACACCGTCAACGACTCACCGTCGCCGCGACGCCCACCACTTCCCACCGCGACGCCCACCGCTGCCCACCGACGCTATTAATGTCGTGAACGACTTCACCATCTCCGTTTCATGACTCCTCTCCGCCGAT